CTTATCAAACTCTCTTTATAAGTGTGTTCTCCAATATAAAGTGACCATTTAATAACAATTGATGTCACGGCATGTACTAAATATTTAAAAATAGTTATTGCATATGTACGTTGCGTTTTATTTTATTTCCATGCTTAAACTTTATCATTTCTCAAGTAGAGTAGGAATAGTATCCAGAACAGAGTTAGCAGTGGAGTTGGTGTGCAGAAGGAGAACCGTTGTCCAGGCATAAACCGAACTGCTGACCCCATGGCCTCCAAGAGAGATCAGTCCCATGATTCCCACAGGAAACCAGTAGAGAAAATTAGACAGAACTACAAGAGACAGTTGTTTGGCTACTGTTATATCTTCAGCTCGTCGTGAAGAAGATATGCTGGTTGCTGTCTTAGATATTCTGTTCCCTGACATGGCACGGAAGATCGAATATGATCTGGTTAAAGATAATGAAAACTGCTACTGAATACTCCCAACCTTTAGCATGTGTGTTTGTTAAGGGCAGGCCAATACACATTGCGTTGGAAGAATAGATGTCAAAGTTCAACACATTGGGGACCAGCGAAAGTAAAAAGCTGGCCACCCAAGATATTGCCACTGGGACAGTTTTGTATGATCCCCTAAACTGTACATGGCCGAATGGAAACTTCAACACCAAAAATCTGTAGGGGTGATTAGAAAAATAAAGAGCGTTGATGCTTCACATGAGAGACAGGCCATAAGACCAGCCATCTTGCAGACAACACTGTTACTCCAGCTCTTGTCATAGAGAACATAACTTTCACGGTATAAGAATAAACTCAAAGGGAGCAAGTACAGCAGAGATCTACCAGTCATCAGTAGAAATTATCCTCGTCAACGAGCGTTTCGGCCCACGATTCCTAGACGCTTTCGGAGGTGGGCCCATCTGAGTTCATGAAGCTCAGGGCTGGTACCCTGCTGCACGAGATTACCGGATGGTGTTTTTCTTTCGGATAGGAACAAGACGACTTGGTGTTTGCAGAAGGTACTGTGAGATAAGAAGTCGTCGCGGCAGCCTAATTAAAGCAGTCAGCATACCTGGACGACCGAGCGACAAGCTTACGTTTGGTTTACCGGACACATGTTGGACTTTTATTAGCAGGTGGCAGAGGATCACTGGCAGACAATTCAAACACGATGGACTTTAAAGGGGTGAGAAACCCTTTTCCACTAGACACCCGGACCAGCTCACCGAGGCCCGTCCCCTACGTTGTTGCGTTGCGTCCAAAGCCAGCTAGAGGCCCTTTCGGCTACCTCTCCCAGTTTTTTGAGTGTTCGTTTCCGTTCATTACCGCGCAATCCTAGTTCTTTAACCACATTGTAGAGCGAAGTGGAAACGAGGCCTCTCGCTCCCACTTCGACGGCAAAGACCCGTACCGTGTACGCCTCGTTTCTCCTCAAACCGGCTGCTAAATCACTGTATTTCTCGAGCTTATACAGGTGATTTTCATCCATACGGGACGGTCAACTCTATCAGGATGAGCTGTCGTTTCTCCGCAGAGTGGAGGACTATGTCAGGTCGCAGACCGGTCTTACGGATTAACTCGGGGTACCGTTCATGGCCTGGCAGATCAACCGCCAGTAACCAGTCCCTCGCAGAGTCTAGCACCGGTTGACCTTACCTTTTGGAATCTGTCCAGCCTTGAGGAAACGAATGGGGACGATGCTAGAACTGGCTATGGCGTTAGCCCTCATTCTAGCCTGGTCAACAACGGCTGCCAACTCTTTTAGCACCTTGTTGTGTCGCCAGGTATATCGGCCTTGACCTAGGGCTTTCCTGCACGCGGACAGGACGTGTTCTAGCATCTGCTTCGCTTCACACAACGGGCAAGTCGGATCGTTAGTCGCAGACCATTTAACCATGTTAACACCGGACGGTAATACATCGTACGCCGAACGAACGATAAAGCTCAGTCGCAGCGAGGTCATCCGCCAGATCTCACCCCATGTGAGTACTCTTGGCAATGCGCTCTCCAAGCTGACCCAATGGCCCTGCTGCGACTGCTGGGCTGCTTTCTGGACCCGAACCTCGTTTTCGTTGTCCCTCACCGTTTGTATTACCATATCTCGGCGCTCTTTGGCTGAGGCCTTTGACCACCAATTGACCTTCCCGTGCCCTAGGCCTCGACGGTCGGTTTGAGTGTATCCCATTATCTCCTTCAATTTTAGTGCATTCTGGGCAGATTCTATCGCATCGAGGACCCTCCACTTCTGGTCAGTCTTTAGAGCGGGCTGGACAGCGATGACATTTGGGTCTGAAGATTCGCGCAAGAGCATGGCGAGTCTTACTTTGCCAACTTTGAACTCTTCAGTTATTGATTTGAACGGGAGTACCAGCTTAGCCTGCTTGCAATATAGAGCCACGTCGGTCAGACAAGGCGGTGCACCAATCTACTTTCTCAAGGCTGTGTTGATTTTCCTCTCCATGGTTTCCACTGCAGTCATCGTCACCTCGTAGACTAGCAGTGGCCATAGGAACTTCGGAATCAACATGAATTGGAGACACCATACCTTGAATTTCCCGATCAGTCTGCATCGCTCGATCGCGAGCAAGCCTGTAGCCAGTGACTCGTGTATTCGCCGGACCTCCGCTCTATCAGATAACTTTGAGTCGTAAACGCGACCGAGGCTCTTCACCGGTTCATCCAGAACCGTAGGGATCTTGTTCCTTGCCACCGTAAAACTGGTTGCCACCACCCGACCCTTAAGGATAGACAGACACCTCGACTTCTGCGGTTTGAACTGCATACCGCTCCATTGGACCACCGCGTCCAATCTTCCCAGGATCGTGCGGGCAGACTCCTCGCTGCCCGTTATTATAGTCGTGTCATCCATAAAGGCACGTAATGGTGGCATCCAGTGATCCCCTATTTGAAGGCCCAGTCCGTAGCCGGCCGCCCCGTCTAACATGATCTGCATGGCCATGACAAACAGTATAGGTGAGATCGTACACCCCATAGCTATCCCAATCTGCAACTCAGTCCACCTCGTGGTAAACGTCGAGGTAGAGAAGCGCAAAGCGAACTTAGAGAAATATTGCTCGATCATTTGATTGATCTGTGCCGGTACGTGGAACATGCGAAGGGCTCGCCACAGTAGCCTATGGGGGACTGCCCCGTAGGCGTTGGCTAAGTCCAACCAAATCACGTGCAATTGAGTTCTCTCATGCTTGGCTCTCTGGATAGCCTCCCAAATCATGGTCGCGTGTTCAAGGCACCAAGGAACGCCTGGAATACCACCCTTCTGAACACTCGTATCTATGTACTTGTTAGCCATCAGATACTGTGTGAGCCGGCGAGCCATGACCGAGAAGAATATCTTACCCTCGACATTCAACAGCGAGATGGGCCTGAATTGGGAAAGACTCTTCGAGTCCTGCTCTCTGGGAATGTAGACCCCATTTGCCTTTTGCCACTCTGGACATATGTGTTTACGGATCCACGCTTGTTTCAACAAGACGTGAAGCATTTTTAGGATTTTCGGGCAACGCTTGTAAAGAACGTACGGAACACCGTTCGGACGTGAGGCAGACTTGCCGCTGGCCTTTTTCACAACTTCCTCAACCTCAGACCAAAGGGGAGGTATCATTTTAAATGGTACCTTCGGCACCGAATGCTGTTTGAGGCCGCTAAGGATCTCTGGATTGTCATCGAGAGGCTCTCTCCTCTTTTTGTCAGAGTACATCTTGCGTAGATGTAACTCAAGTTCTTCCTGACTGACAACCAGAGTCCCAGACTTCGGTTGCTCGAATAGACCTCGGGCAAACTGATACGGGTCCCTAAAGAATTTCTCTCGCTCCCTTTTGGTTCTACGTCTGTTGTTACAGAAACGCTCGGCGTGACAGAGGGCGCTGTGTTTGTTCTTTAAATGCAACCAAACTTCATACAGCCCCTCCCGTTCGCTGCCTGTAGCGGCTTTGAACCGTTTTCTGAGGGCATTCTTGCCTGCCCGACACTTCAGAATGTCCCTCTGCCTCCTGCTAGTATTCTGCTTGGCACCCGGCTGTGCCTTTTCTACTGTCCTGAACTCGCGGGAGCAGTGTTCATATATTACATCACCAAATTTTGTAAGCTTGTCGCCTAACGACTTCTTGTTTAAATCATGTTTAAGTACCTCACATAATGTAGCCTCCAACTTACACCACACCACCTTATCGCTCGCAGGTGGAAACCTGATCTTTGAACGCACTTCCTCAGAAATCATCAAATGTGCTCCTCCGCAGTCGACGTCATGGGCCTCTCCGGGCGAGTGGGGTTCACCCTGCCCGTCGTTCCCTGACGACTCAGAAACTACCACAGGAGTAGTAGTTTTGCGACGGCGTTTACTGCGTGGAGCACCCTCGCATTTCATTCTTCCGGCATGCGTTCTCAGACCATGCAACCCCGTGAAGCTCTTTCCTCATGTACAGAGCCAGCCCGGACGTTGGGAGAGTATCTGAGTCCGGGGGCTAGCATAGTCGTCACCGAGAGTATCAATTTGATTGGGCCCTTCATCCCCCCCCCCTTTCGGAGGGCCCTGGGGGCATATTTCTATGTGGTTGTACGAAATCGAGGTATTATACTGTGTTAGGGGTGATCAACACGGTTCACAGTCGACATCTGTCTCCAGATGTCACTTTATCCCGCCGGCGATACCGGGGGGCCAGTCTTTCCATACGTGTCACAAGGACTTTCCCGAGAGTCAACAGTCTTTCCTGGTAGTCTTGTGGGCTAGCCACGTACAATAGGAATAAACTCATAGGGAGCAAGTACAGCAGGGATCTACCAGTCATCAGTAAACGAGCGTTTCGGCCCACGATTCCTAGACGCTTTCGGAGGTGGGCCCACCTGAGTTCATGAAGCTCAAGGCTGGTACCCTGCTGCACGAGATTACCGGATGGTGTTTTTCTTTCGGATAGGGACAAGACGACTTGGTGTTTGCAGAAGGTACTGTGAGATAAGAAGTCGGTAGAAAGAATCAGCCCCAGCAATCAGAAACAGATAGACTCATATGATGAAGTCAGATACACCCAAGTTGGTCACAAACAGACCGTATCCTGTCTGGAGGACTGACCCATCCCAGATTTTACGATAAACAATGACCGTCACGTTTCCCAGAACTGCGAGTGTTGCAACAATCCAGAGAAGAAATCGCTGAATATCTAGTCCTAGCAGATTACCACACGAGGAAAAGGGGTCTGTATTTAAAGGAGCAATGCACGAACGAGGGGAAATTACTAATTCTTGAATCTGTGGACAGCAAATCTGGAAAAGATCAGAATATAACGCCTGGCTAATTGTGAGATTATGAAATAAATAGTCGTCGAGATCTTGTGTAAGAATACCTCGTAAATCTAATGTCTGCAGTGTCAGTTTTGGGCTGAAATATTGCCTCCTAAATTTTGATATCAACGAATTGCCCAAATTGAGATGTTTCAATCTAGGGAGTTGTGCAAACACTGAATCGTTTAGATGAGACAGGCTTGTAAAGGAAAGGTCAAATATTTCTAGAGAACTGAACCGGAAATTTCTCATTGACTTCAACTGCCGATTGTGAGAAATGTTAAGATAAATTATTTGTTTGTAAAAATAGTTGTATTCATCGGTTGCAAAGACTTTAAATTTATTGTAGCTAATGTCTAGTGTCTCAATTATAAATTGCGGATAGTTATAAAGTAAAGGTAAAGATAACTCACTTATATTGCATTTAGACAAGATCAGGATTTTTAAATTCAGAACTGCTCCTGTGGCATTTAACAAAAATAATCTGAGTTAATGAAACTCTACTCCAGACAAGTCCAGGTATTGAATCTATCTATAGCACACATCTGTCATGTCTAAAGGAACTGATCTGTTGTAATCAGACACCGACACTGTCCCAGCAATTCACCCGAAACCTTCGAGACAATCATAGCAGCAGCCAAGTTCAACATCATCATACGGGAAATCACAAACTAGGTGAGGATGAAGACAGATGTTGCTGTCCCAGCAAGCAAAATGTCCAGTACATGGACCAGTGTAGAACAGTTGCTCGTCTTCTCCTGTAGGACAGTCAGCTCTCCCATCACGAAGATAATAATGAGGCATGCAGTACGAGCTATAACATTTCACATATCCGTGACCACACTGGAAGTTCTCACAGTCTCTAAGATGTGACATATCTGGGCAACCGACGATACCTCCGTGTCTGTCTTTGATATGATGACATTTTGCAGTCCACATATTATGTCTAAAGCTGTTCTTGCGAGCGTTTGCAGACTCTAGCTTTTCCATGGTCTTAGCTTTAAGACCTTTTAGGACCTCCACAGTCTATGACTGAGTCGTTGCGCCGAGACTTATCTGCACACATGCCAGGTTTGCATACTAATGCGCATCTCTCCTTATTTATTAGAGGTTTACTTTTGTGCGAGCTTAAATAACTATCTATATATTCATGGAAACTAATCGTATAAATGCCCTAAACATCGGTGGTCATGAAATACCAGAAATTCGTTATGCTGATGATACAGTATTACTATCAACATCACAAAATGGTTTAGAAAACTTATTAACCTCACTCCAAAGAAATAGTGAAAATCATAACTTATTTCTTAACACAGCGAAAACAAAGATAATGCATACAAACAAAACTGCCATGGAGAAGGAAATATATGTTAATGAGGAAAGATTGGAAGTGGTGGAAAATTTCGAATATCTTGGGTCACTGGTTACCAACAATGGTGACACAATGAAAGAAATTAAACGGCGACTATCAATTGCTCTTCAAAGACTAAAACAACTGAATAAATTATGGAATTGTACAGATAGAATTACAAAGGTCAGATTTTTAAGAGCATGCATCTTTCCCATTGCAACATACGCCTGTGAGACCTGGACACTTACTAAACAAGCGGAACAGCGCATAAATGCATTTGAATATAAATGTTACAGACAGGTTCTAAGAATATCTTGGGTAAAGAAAAGAACAAATGCATCCATACTTCAAGAGCTGAATATTGAAGAGGGTTGGCTAGTAAAGACAATAAAACAAAGAAAATTGAAATATTTTGGTCACTTGAAACGTCATGGAGGTCTAGAGAGAACAATAATGGAGGGGTATATGCCTGGAAAGAGAGGAAGAGGAAGGCCAAGGAGAAGATGGGTGCAGGATGTGGCAGATGATCTCCAGATGGGTGTATCAGACGCAGGACATCTTGCTCATGATAGGAAGGTTTTCCGGAGGGTTGTTATGGCAGCGAGGTTCCGCGAGGGACATGCTACTGAATGAATGAATGAATCGTATAAATCAAACAGTCATCTTGTAGATTATTGTCCCACTGTATAGGTAGGTAGACATGAGCCAGCACGACACTGTCCACTGTTACAGGTTGTGTGAACGCAGAATTTCTCATCGCTGTCGTCTCTACAATCCTTGATCTTGTCCCACTTACATTCTTTATGGTGCAGCCTTTGACCAGATTGGCAGTAAAAGTCATTAAAAGATAAGAATGTCTTAGGATTCGAACAAAGAAGCTCTTCCCGTCTGTTGCTGCAAAGATCAACGAAATCACTGACCAAGTTATAGGAAATATATCCACGATCACCGGCGTCTTTCCCGCAGTCAAAGATGGGAAAGTCTAAATTTGAAGACAATCGGAGTTAGGTACGTTTGCAGACATTGAAATGATACTGCTTTCGTAGATGAGAAAATGTTCCTTTGGTATTGTGAAATTAATGTAATCTTTTGTAACTGGTGTACTAAAGTCAATATCATTAATCTTTCGAGAAAGGACAACTTCACATAGTGGTTCAGAGTTTATATCGGAATGACAATTAAGATTTATCCATCCTTCACTGGCACTGGTGTTATCTTCGTCACGTGTCGAAGTATTTCTAAACTGCCACACAACACAGTCATCCTTCTTATAATCTCTACAAGGTTGACCAGGCTGCCAGTAAGGAATTTAAAAAAGGATGAAACTTTTCTTCACTGCTCTCCCACTGAAATCGTTTCGCATAATTACCTAAATCTCTAGTGAGGCCAATTTAAAATGTAATGTTAGGCAGGTTCAAATTTTTGAGTTGTTCTAATAACTGCTCCTGTAAAAATAGCATTTCCTCTTCACTTTCAATTCCGGCCCAATTTCCATTAAAATACTTTTTGGAGTAATCAGATGCTTTAAGCCACGTAGTGTCTTCAAAGACTGTGGATATTCTAAAGCAGGAGAGCAAATTGAGCCCTGTTGTGTGATTAAATGGGACCCCTATTGGTCCACACGTTTCACACATCGCCATCTGTAAATACCTTATTCAATAACTTTTATCCATGTCTGGTAACACAAGAGTATTAGTCAGGTGCACAACTTCCTCTACAAGTTTACCACCAAATATCACTGTAAAGATCTTCACTTTTGAACTGAGTTTATGTACAATGAAGGGACCATTTCTGAATTCTTTTTGTGTAAGACTTTTACCATTAATAAAGACAACACAGAGATGAACAGCATTATTTCTGACTCCACTCATTTCAGCAAACAAACGTTCAATAATTTGTATTTTTAGCTCCAGACGTGATCTGACATCTCTGATGGATAACTCCAAAATGTCTGTATTTGGAACTGTGTTCGGCTGCCAATACCTATCACTTACATGAAAGCTCCAATGGCTGATATTCATGGTGTCGTTGCTATCACTAAATCGGGTACCACGATGGCTGCCCTCCACTGTGAGCTGTTTCCACTTGAAGATTGCTCTATTAGGTTCCAACTGAGGGTATGTTTCAAAGTATACTGCTGCAGGAATGACAGTTCTTCGTCATAGTCCAATAGGGACAATAAATCCGTGCCATTTCGAATCAACCTTTCAACGGAAAATGTCCCTGTGTGCTGGCACATATCATTGTAAGGAAAAAGACAAAAAACATCATGTATGTGCACACATAGTTTACTCATGAATGTTTAGGTGATTATGTTCTGTGGGCAGCAATATAAACTGGTACGTCTGTGAAAGGCATATAAAAACACAGTTCAACATAATAGAAATACAAACCAATTTGATTAATACAGCCGTAATTGTGCACACAGATATCTAGGCATCCCTTGCAAAATATGGCTGTCAGAATAACGCACAGTATAGACTCTCGGTTATCTGTCTCTCCCATTACCTCAAGTATTGCCATGCTAAATATGTTTTCATTACCCTATGTTCACGCTCATGCAGGTCCACTCCTGCCTCTTTTTCACTTGTGGTCTCATTACTTTCCAAACCATTGTGATGTTTAAAATACCCAAAATATTGAGCCTATTAGACTAGTGATATTTTCAAATAGTATCAATTTTTTTTAATTTTTTTTTAATTTAGTTAGTACACAACACCCCCCCCCCTTTTTTTTTCCTCCCCTCCCTCCCCATAACATGATTTCAAAAGTAATGAATTTTGCTTTCTAAAGAAAAGCATTGCTAAATGCTTACTAACTCACATCCGTACATTTTCACAGAATCGCAAGGCAGATAAATCCCTAAAAGATGCTTGATTTATGTAGGGATGGGATTTTTGATGAACTTTAGAAATACCATGAAACGGCACTATAAAAAACCAGCCTGCACACACCGAGCATGGTGTGTGAAAATCTTGAACTGCTGTTTGGTCAAAAACATAAACAAGAGATGAATACATATTATCTTTAAAACAATGCAAAATAAAGAAGTCAGGCCGCTCGTCCTATACCCTTGAAGTCGGTGTCGGCTTGTCTCAGTTATGACATCTTCAGAATGTGTGCTAAAAGCATTCAATAGACACATCATCTCCTAGACAACACGTCCAAGGTCATCAACTACTTACTGCAACTAGAAGACGACTTATTGCAAGTGGAGGCTCTAGAACGGAAGTAAACGGGGATAAACAAGATAGCAATAACGAGACGATATCATAATCTGTCACGTGTCACGCAGATGGTAGGTCCCTTTGAAAGTTGGAGGCAAGACAAAGTTGCTGAAAGCTGTGTATTTCTTTCCTTTTCTTTCTTGGTGTTACCTCTTGGTTTTATCTCCCTATGATTTGGCCAGGCGTAATTCGTAGGAGAGCGAGCTTTTCTAAACAACGTCCGTTAGACCACCATTTATAATTTTATAATTTAGAGTATTTTACTTTGCCAAAACGTATTGAAGACAGTTTTTAATTTTTGATAGTTCCGAAATGTGAAAATATTCCGCATGTGACCATAGTGGTCTTATAGTTGTCTTCCTGCAATAAGAACGGGTTAGTCATGTCGTGGATATGTGTGTGAAATGTTAGGTGGAGCCTTAAATTGGTTCTATTCTTCATTTGTTATTGTGTGATCCGGTTGTGTCGGTTTGGTTTGGCAGTTAGGCTCCGGTGTACGTAAATATCATATACCCGGAACACCTAGCTCATGCTTTGAGATCCAAATGTTCGGCGATAAGAGATGCTGTGGCATGTTGGGAACCGAACTCAAGTGCTCTCTGTGTAAATGGGGTGGGGGATTGAACTCGTAGTGCATCTGGAAGAGAAAGGGAAATGTGAGGGGAAAGAGGGCGGGAGGCCATTTAGCCATTCTTCGTCGTTGCCGTCTCACTGGATTTTCGCGTGGCCTTGAGCCAGGATTTTATGTATCACGTCAACAACCTTTTCTATCAGTCCCTGGTGAGGTGGAGTTGGTGGTTAAGTGTTCTAGCCCTGTCAGTATTGATTCATTTGTTTTCCCTATTTGCTGTCAGTCATATCTTGTTGTAAGCCCCACCAGTCATGTTTATGTTGCATGAATGAAGTAGAATGGGATGGTTTTGAGTTTGAATCCCGGAATATATGGACACACATAACTAAGTGTATGCGTACATGCACTCGATCATTCATACACTCAAACAACACTACATGTTTGTACTTCCTTTCATACTTATCCGTGTATGAGTACCTTTTTGTCATTCCGTACATATGCATTCTCTTTATATGTGTCTACCAATGCCTACTGTAATGGAGGATTTGTTCACCCTGATTAGGAAGGTTGGGGGAAAGCCCCAAACTAACAATAAAACCGAGAGAAGCCATATACTCGGATTAGCTGAGGTTTTCAAGAGAGGGGACGACCACGAGTTATCGCATGGAAACCAAGGAGAACGACCACAGGAGCCCAAGAACAACCACATGTTGCCACCCAGTCTGGTCAGGTTAGTATGTATTAGTATGTGTTGACCGTCAGAGCGAGAGGACGTGAGAGTGATCGTGGGAATGACAACGTGAGACTGATTGTTGCGAGAGGAAGACCAGACGACAACATCGATCGAAGCCAAGTCCAGTCAGGCCAGTCTGTGTGAAGTCTGTAGTAATGACCAGATCAATCTATGCGGCAATGTGGGAGTGAAGGCGCCGAACTCTGGTCGATGAGTGTGTGTGTAAATGATGAGATGTCAATAAACTTATCGCACTTTGAAATCGGTGTCGGCTTGTCTCAGTTATGACATCTTCAGAATGTGTGCTAAAAGCATTCAATAGACACATCATCTCCTAGACAACACGTCCAAGGTCATCAACTACTTACTGCAACTAGAAGACGACTTATTGCAAGTGGAGGCTCTAGAACGGAAGTAAACGGGGATAAACAAGATAGCAATAACGAGACGATATCATAATCTGTCACGTGTCACGCAGATGGTAGGTCCCTTTGAAAGTTGGAGGCAAGACAAAGTTGCTGAAAGCAGACATGTGAGAGGCGAAGTCTGGTGAGAAAGCACAGTTCGTGAAATCATCTGGAAATTACATCAGTTGCACTATCAAATCAAAGCCGAATGTTTGAGAATTTATACGACAAAGCAACAGAAAGGTGATCCCAAAAACTGTCACGTGTCACGCAAGAGGCGGATTCTGGTGAGAAGGCACAGTTACTGAAATTACCAACCAGTTACGTCAAAAATCCAACATGTGAACACCATGAGGATATGTTATTGCCTCACGTGTGCGAAAGGTTGAAAAGGACACGTAAACTGCCTAGGGTCACGTGGAACTTTGCGCCGTTCTTCCAAAAAAATTCGACTAGAAGTCTACCACAGAACATCCGGGTCACGACAACATACGGACAGACGCTTCAAATCAAGAACAGAAATACGGCGAAATTTCGAAGTAGGGTTTAATTTTCCTACCAAACACTGAAACTCAACCAGCCCAGCCGAATAATTGGGAAGCCCAGCTGAAAGTTGTGGACCAACAGGTGTCGACTTTGACAGAACACAAGCGGGTCAAGTGTGTGATGAAGTGTGTCTGAACACGGAAAGACAGTTTCTACAGTGACATGGGGGGGGGGATGAATATATATATATATATATATATATATATATATATATATATATATATATATATATATATATATATATATATATATGGAAGTAGGCTATCCCCCGAATAACGGTCGGTAAAGATAGGGACCATAAAATATCCTTTCGAGCCACAGTCACGTGTCAATTGCGCACTTCCGGCGACTTAATTTGCGATTGTCCGGCGGTTTTCCTGCGACTACCGCCACCGCCACGAGTTCCCCACGCCGCATACGCGGCGTGGATTGGGGCTAAACTAGATGGCTAGGACATACGAGCAGCAGCTTCCGCATCTCCTCAAGCTTTGCTCGTGAGTCCTAGTCATCTAGTTTAGCGGGGAACTCGTGGCGGTGGCGGTAGTCGCCGGAGAACCGCAAATTAGGTCACGTGACTGTGGCTCGAAAGGATAATTTGCGGCCGCCATCTTTACCGCTATTCGGAGGATAGCCGGGAAGTATAGGAAAGCGGGTGACGGGACATTTTCCGCATCAAGTATAAAGTGCTTTACTAGGCCACTGTTTTGGACTCAAGGGACTTCACTAGCCAGGATATGGCGCCTTTAAACATTGCCGAAGTCAGCCCTTACATAATCCCCATGAATCAATGATCTGATGAGCGTTTAGCAGCGCGCCTGACCGCCATCCCGGCGGCCATGCCATGGAATCACAATGGAGACGCATTTTTAAAATTAGGCCGCACTGCGAAATGGGCCCAAGATCAACTGGAGACCCATTGTTCTGAGCAGTGAAGTCTACCAGCGGGATATCGACCATTTAGGATGCCGATTCTTTCACAAGTAGGCCTGAGATTAACAAAGCATGCTGAGGGCAACATTCGTCATCGAGTTGTTGGCACCGTAAAACTTTAGCAAGAGAGATTTATAAATAAAAGTAACAAAATGTGAGAAATAAAGATGTACTACGCAGAGGCTGAAAGTGTCATTTGATCCCCATGTTTGAACTTTTTCCAATTCTTCAGTAGGGCAGGTATTGTATACAAAACTGGGTTTGCAGCGGAGTTGATGGGCAAAAGGAGAACCGTTGTCCAGGCATAAACCTCACTGCTGACCTCATGACCTCCAAGAGACATCAGTCCCATGATTCCCACAGGAAACCAGAAGAGAAAATTAGACAGAACTACAAGAGACAGTTGTTTGGCTACCGTTATATCTTCAGCTCGTCGTGAAGAAGGTATGCTAGTTGCTGTCTTAGATATTCGGTTCTCTGCCATGGCACGGAAGATCGCATATTGACCACACGAAATAAACAAAAACATGATCAAGTTAAAAATTATAAAAACTGCGACTGAATACTCCCAACCTTTAGCATGTGTGTTTGTTAAGGACAAGCCAAGACACATTGCGTTGGAAGAATAAATGTCAAAGTTCAACACAATGGGAACCAGCGAAAGTAAAAAGCTGACCACCCAAGACATAACAACTGCGATAGTTTTGTGAGAGCCCCTAAACTTTACTTGACCGAATGGAAACTTCATCACCAAAAATCTGTCGAGAGTGATCAGAAAAACAAAGAACGTCGATGCTTCACACGAGAGACAGGCCATAAAACCAGCCATCTTGCAGACAACACTGTTCCTCCAGCTCTTGTCATAGAGAACGTAGCTGTCACGGTAGAAAGAATCAGCTCCGGCAATCATCAACAGATAGACTCCCATGATGAAGTCAGATATACCCAAGTTGGTCACAAACAGACCGTATCCTGTCTGGAGAACTGACCTATCCCAGATCACACGATACACAATGACCGTCACATTTCCCAGAACTGCGAGTGTTGCAACAATCCAGAGAAGAAATCGCTGAATATCAAATCCTAGCAGATTAGAACATGAGGAAATGGCGTCTATGTCTGCAGGAGCAAAGCACGCACGAGGTGAAATAACTAATCCTTGAATCTGTGGACAGCAAATCTGGAAAAGATCAGAATACAACGCCTGGCTAATTGTGAGATTATAAAATAAATAGTCGTCGAGATCTTGTGTAAGAATACCTCGTAAATCTAATGTCTGCAGTGTCAGTTTTGGGCTGAAATATTGACTGCTAAAATCGGAAATCAAAGTGTGACTCAAGTTGAGGTGTTTCAATCTTGGTAATTCAGCAAACACTGAGTTGTTCAGATAAAACAAACTTGTATGGGAGAGATCAAGTATTTCTAGAAAACTGAATCTCAAATTTACTAATGACGTCAGCAGCCGATTGTAAGACATATTGAGATAATCTAAATGTTGATAATAAAAGCTGTATTCGTGTTCAGAAAATGTTTCAAACAAATTGTAACTAATATCTAACTTCTTGACTACAAATGGCTGGGTCTTGGTTTGTTCTAGTTCAGATGAAAATATAAATAACCAGTTGATTTTGCAGTTAGACAATAAAAGCACTTTTAAGTTGAGAAATACTTCCAAGCTGCTGTAAAATAAAAGATAAATGTGCGAAATGTCTGCTCCCGATAGGTCTAGGTATCTTGTCTGTGGATCTATACCAGACAAACTGTCTCTGATTAAAGGAACTGACCTGTTGTTCCCTGACAATATCACTGTCCCTGCGATACACTGGAACCCTTGGGGACAAAATACAGAGCAATCAAGTTCATCATCACCATGTGGACAGTCAGGGTGTCCATCACAAACTAGGTCAGGATGAAGACAGATGTTGCTGTCCCAGCAAGCAAAATGTCCAATACATGGACCAGTGTAAAACAGTTGCTCGTCTTCTCCTGTAGGACAGTCAGCTTTCCCATCACGAAGATAATAATGAGGGATGCAGTACGAGTTATAACATTTCACATAGCCGTGACCACACTGAAAATTCTCACAGTCTCTAAGATGTGACATATCTCTGCACCCGACCAAACCTCCGTATCTGTCTTTGATATAATGACATTTCGGAGCCCAGTTAAACTGTCCGAACCTATTCCTGCAAGTGTTTGCTGGCTCTAGCTTCCATAGAGTATTAGCTAATGCACTTTCAGGACCCTCACAGTCTATAAATGAACCGTTAAGCTGAGATTCTTCTATGCACGTGTCACGGTTACATGACAATGCACAGCTCTTGTTGTTTAGCTGAGGTAGTTTTTCATGAAAGCTTTCATCACTCGCCATACATTCAGAAGAACTTGTCATGTAAACGAAACAGTCAAATTCTCCATCGTTGACCCACTGTAGAGGTAGGCAGGAACCGTCTTGACATCGTACACTTTTACAATCTTTATTAAAGCAGTTTTCTTCGTCGCTTCCGTCTCTGCAGTGCTTGACATTATCACACCTATATTCTTCACTGAGCAGCTTTTGTCCGGATGAGCAGTGTTTTCCAGGATAAATGAATTCTCCTACATCCAGACACAGTAGTTCATCCCGTCTGTTGCTACAGTGATCAACGAAATCACAGACCATGTTATAGGAAAGATATCTACGATCCCCGGCCTCTTCCCCACAGTCAAAGATGGGAAAGTCAAGATTTGAATATTTTAAAAATTGAAGAAAATTAGAGTTTGGTACGTTTGCAGACAGGGACACAATATTCGTTTTATAAATAAGAAAATGCTCGTTTTCTTTAGCAAAATCAGTGCCATTTGTTGCAACTGGTACATTAAAGATATAGTCAACCTCGTTAATCTTTCGGGGAAGGACAACTTCACACAGCGGTTCTGCTTTTAAATGACAATTAACATTTGTCCATCCTTCATTTGGTGCCTCGTAAAAAGATGTGGTATTCTGGATTGTACTGCTTTTGTCATCATCATGTACCCATGTACTTGTAAACTGCCACACCACACAGTCGTTGTTCATACATTCTCTGCACGGTTGATCTGGCAGCCAGTGATTGACTATCTGAGGGCGATACCTTCCTAAATGATCTAGCCATTGAAATCGTTTTGCATAGTTACTCAAGTCTCTATGGAGGCTGATATGAAACTGGTAATGAGATAGACCCTGGGTTTTTATTCTTTCATTCAACAATTTCTTTAAAAATAAAATTTCCTCTTCAGTTTCAGTTGCTGCCAAATAGCTATTGCAGTACAAGTTGCAATACGACGTGGCCAAAGCGTGTGTCATTTTCCGTCCCGTGTTGAACATTATGTAGCAGGAGAGTGAACTAAGACCGGTTCTATGTTCAAAGAGAGACCCATTATAGGTACACGTTTTGCACATCGCCATTAGTAGATGTTGATGGAAGCTATACATTTTTATATTTGGTAACACAAGAGTGTCAGTCATGTGTACAATTTCGTCTATAAGTTTGCTACCGTATACCACTGTAAAGATCTTCACCTCTGATTTAAGTAGTTGTACAAAGGAGGGAACGCTTCGGATTTCTTCCTGTGTCAAATGTTTACCGTCAAGAAAGACAATTCCAAGATGAACTGCATTCTCTCTAACTCCGCTCATTTCAGCAAACAAACGTTCAACGACTTGTATTTTCAGCTCCAGACGTGCCCTCAAATCCCTAAATAGTACATTGAAGGTATGTGCACCTTCCCTCATGTAAGGTTCCGTAGCAATGGCACGAAAGCTCCAATCGCTGACGTTTATTGGCTCGTTGTGAATACTGAACTGATCAACGACTGTGGCTTCCATCCATCGTGAACTCGGGGGGACCAAATGTAAACTCATATAGTATATTAAATAATGCTGTTGTAGCCATGTTTGATCGATGTCAAAGTCCAGCAGCGACAATAAATCCATGTCATCCCTGAGACAGTCTTTCAAGGGAAAGTGTCCCTGTTTGCTTGAGGGCAACACTGTACAGAAAAAAACAAAAACACAGTTTTATCACTGTTTTACTGGAATGCTTAGTGTTGAATGTGTGCATGTTTAATGTTGTAAAAGTAGGTAAAGTAAAAAAAAAAAAAACTTTCTTACATTGTCAGGCGTATTTGGCATATAGGGCTAGACCTATATTTTATAGACCGATCGGCGTTTGATGTGTGATGTTGTAAATGTAAACATCACTCCGGAATCCTTTACTTCCAAAGATATTTAGTGCACGATGATGTAAACAGATACAGATGCACTCTCAGATACGTGTGAGAGCAGGTCGTATAATAGAGCAGGTCGATAATAGAGCAGGTCGTATAATAGAGCTGGTCGTATAATAGAGCAGGTCGTATAATAGAGCAGGTCGTATAATAGAAAGCATAAATAATTGAAGCTATGCCTCATGATGTCGCAGGACCTTGTCAAAATAGGCTCTCACAATCAGTCGCTAGAAATATTAGGATCCTTTGCCTCTTCCTCAGCTTTATAAACTTTCTTACCAATGTATCTTTGATATCCTTCGTCATTCAGTATACTTAAGATGTGGGTTATTCATTGATGAAACATACAGACAATTTGATTCCAGGAAAGGAAAAGCTTGCATAGATGCAATATTTATAATAAGACAAGTTTGCACACACACAAAAACACACACAAAAACTGATGAAATGGACTGAATAGTGTGTTCGATCAAGAAAAGGCTAGTGATAGAGTACACAGAAACACTCTATGGGTCATTCTTGGGGACTATGAGATAAAAGGACAATTGCTAGATAGCATTATGGCTATGTACCACCCTTTCCAAAGCTCAGTGAGAACACAAGAGGACATGTCTGCTATGTTTACTATCACATACAGGGGTGAGGCAGAGATGCGTGCTGTCTCCTCTCCTATTTGAATATATACATAGACAGAATAGCATAAGAAGCCAGCTTTAAAACAGTCGACCAGAAAATCCAGAAAGTGTTGAATTTTGCTTCCCAGAGGCAGAAATAAATCCACACCCAATAAAAGAGCTACTATTTGCAGACTCTTATTGTCTGTTCTACAATGAGGGGAGTAGACTGCAAGAACATTTGAACAGGCTAAGTTCAACATACAGAAGTTATAACGTGAACATAAATACTACTAAACCTGAAGTCATGCAGGTCAGCAGAATTCATAGTCCAGTAGATATCGGGTTGAATGGAACTTGTCTGAATTTAAATATGTAGGAAGTATTTTCTCGGAAGACGGGAGAATAGACTAGGAAATGGAAACAAGATGCCAACGAACCAGGGTACTAATATGCCAACTGACAAAGTTATTAAGACTTCCCAACATAAGTATAAGCTCGAAGAAACAGATTATAAGCAACGTATCCATACCAATACTGTGCTATCAGTGCAGGCTTGAACATTATCAAAGGCTAACATACGTAAAATTATCACCTGTGAAATGAGAAATAAAAGATCAGATTGTTTGGCCATTTGTTAAGAATGCAGCCAGAACAACTACCAATACATGCGCTACACCGGAAAAGATCTGAAGTGAAAGCAAGAGGCTGACCTAAGAGAACATGGATTGATGACATTAAAGAACTTCTACATCGACACAGAATGACAATAGTTATTGCTGTCCATCAAGCAGGGAATCGCAAACAGTTCCTCTCCCACAACGCTTAACGGCATAAGTAGAACTTGATGATGATAATGACATGCATAATTATGTTTGTTATGCCGTTACTAATTCAGTATGAAGTGTCTAACAGGGTGACGGTACTTATCACTAAGTTTCTAAAAATGTGACAGTACTCATTTTGAAGTGTCAAAACTAAAGGGCCGTCACTTATCACAAAATGTCTAAGCAGAGACCGGTACTGACTACAAAGCACTGATGACAATGCCTTTTAAAAGGTGTCGGTTCTGGGTACCGCCAGAAAACAGCCCTGATCATAGTCTGTGCCGATAAAAATAGAGATAATATTTTTGGACTGTGCCCAACTTGATTTGTGATGTAAACGACAGATTTAGAAAATGGCGAGTGACCTGTTTCCATCGAACTTTAGGTGCCTTGTGCGATTAATTTCATGTGCAACTACTCATCTGTTGCAACTGCTACCTCCATCGACGATTACCTGCATTCTTTGTATCGGTCTATTTGTGTTGGCACTTCCAGCTGCTGCCACATACATTTGATACGCCTGCATACATTTCAAATATACTAAGTATTTGTTAACACCACTACCCCTCTTTTTCCAACAAGGGACTACGATGGATGTTCTGTGTGGGTTTCGTAGGCACATAAACGAACTAAACAGGGTGTCTCGTTTTCTATGAAGTTGGAACTTCGATTACCTGGTTATCTGATTATCTGAGATACCAGCAAGAGATAGACAACCTGGGGTCACATGCAAATATTTGGATCTACACGCTTGGGCATGCCAGAGTACATGGTAATCAAAAAGCTGA